CCTCCGCTCCGGCAGACCGGGCCTCTCCTCTTTGTTTTTAATTCTTTTTTTTTTTCTTCGATGAGCGGGCCTGGATTTGGTTGGTTCGATTGCGGCGACGTAGGCAGTCCCCGTGAACTCATGGGAGAGGAGGATATGTAAAAGTATAATTAGAAGCGGATTAATTCCAAATCCCTCAAGACAACTTATATGACTTCGATTGCACGTCAGGCAGTCCCCGTGAACTCATGGGCCTGAATTTTCCATCCCTCAAGACAACATGCATGACTGGGCCCAAAACTTACCTTTATAGTAGTGCGGCCCATTACTTCAGGCTCATCAAACCGCATATAAATCATAATATAGTAATACTCAGTCCAAAAAAAATGCAAAACAATTTCAACTTTAACCATCTGTGCACAGCAAAGTACTAACAAATTTTATATCAAATTATTATCATTAGATTCAATATAAAATATATTTTCATAGTAAATCTATATAGAGAAATAATAAATGTTGGTATTTTTTCTATAAAATAGGTCAAACTAGAGAAAGTTTTGCTAATTCCAAATCTAGAATTACATTCTTTTTTGACATAGGTACTATTAATACTCCCTGCATCCTAAAATATTTACACTTCTACGGTTCAAATTTTGTAAAAAAAAAGAAGAAGAGCGCACACACGGACATAGGGTGTGAGATTTCATGTCTGTAGGAGTAGTGGACAAAAGTTTATGGATGAGCATGGGACCAACGGAAAGTCGGACTTGTAAATAAAAAATATAAAAAAAGAGGAAAGGACAGTGTGCGGATGTTCCCGTCCACTCGTTTTTGCAATCGCAAAGACATGCCCTCATTCCTCCTGTTCATTCTGCGCTTGGCATGTGTGTTTTCGTGTTGACGTCACCTCTACGTAGCACCAGAACTTTAGTTGTACTTATTTCTTCCGCAACTAAAAAGAATAAAACATGGACACTTTATAGTGTGACATTTGTTTTGGTCTCCGCCTCTCCGTTTTGGTGCGACAAAAGCTTCGCCTCACCTTCACATGCATGCGTCGTGAAAAAAAAAAATTCTTTGTGCGACAATCGTCCTCTCACCTTGTCGGTCGTGAGACCCGCTCCTGCGACCCATCTCCTCCGATCACTCTCTATCTCCTCCCAGATCCCGCTCCAATCACGCAGGGCCGCCACCCAGACGCTCGCCACTCCATCCCGCACCCTGCGACCGCACATGCCGCCGCTCCCCATCACCGCTCCCCGTGTCCTCTCGCTGCCAACAACACCATCCCTATTGCTCCTCGCCCAGTCCAAATCCCACGGCTTGCCTTGCCGTGGATCCTGGTGGAACTAAGCGGCGGCCGGGAGGACGACGTGGTGCGTGCTTGGTGGCCTCCATCTCGCCACGCTTCTCGATGTCGACGGTGAAGCGGAAGCGTCGCTTAGGGTTCTTGACAATGCTGCGCAAGCAATGCCGGCCACGAAGCCTCCTTGAAGGGGTTCTTGCCCCGCAAGCCCCGAACCACATCTCCGGTGGTTCTCCATCCTCTCTCCGTCCTGCAGGTTCTCTGGGTCCTCCCTCCGCTCCGCCTTGGGTCATCCGGTCAAGCACCAATCAGCGTGCTCGTGTGGTGTCTGACGGACTTGTAGCTGAGCCTTTTTCAACATCGTTGTATGTATTAGGCGCTTTATATTCAGATATATTTATGTGTGAATAAATGATTGCTTTGTGGAGTCTAGAAAATTAAATAGCAATTATTTCTTGGATCTGCTTTGGTTAAACACTATGAACATCTAAATTTTTTGTAGATTGACATAATGAATTTGATGTTGATAAAAATCATTGATAAAAATGTACTGTACATTTTTTTAAATATTTGCTAATTATTTGAGTCGGACATTCTTGTTTCTAGTTATGTACCATGCAATGATTCAATGGTTCGTCTCATCCATATTATATTCCTCTCTGCGTAGAACCAAAGAGAGTGGTTTCAGAGAGACATTCTTTCTTGGACTATACTTGTGCTCTACATTTTTTCTTTTAGTATTGTAAAGTATTTTCAGTGGCATTTACGCCTACAGTTTCCTTTCTTTTTTGAACTGCCTACAGTTTCCTTTCATGCTTGTCATGTTCTTAAGGTAATTATAAATTGAATCACTGATGGTGTTATTAGGCATCCCAATGCAATATTGCTCATTGAATTATCAAAGAAAGAAAATTATTGTGAGGGAGTTATCATATGATTTTAAGTAGCTTTGTTTGATGTGCAAGGTTGGACTATTGTTAATGGGCGTGTTGAATGTAGCAATTAAAACTGGTGAAGATGTTGAGATCTTGGGTTTGACATAGGTTAGATCTTAATTTTTTAATGCCCGAGATCGAATTTATGATACTATTAAATTGTTGCATGTTTATCCTACTTTCTAATGTTTGAAGTATGAGATCTTAATTTCTTTAATTGAATGAGTTGTTGGTCTATCAAATTCAGCATGTTAGTAGTTAACAGGACCAAGATGTCTTAAATTCTAGAGCTGCCGAGGTCACTGTTTTGGTTAATGATCATGGCCCTCATGGTGCAAGTGCAAGACATGGAGCTCTAACTTAGTATACAACCCACTTTTTCTTGACTGCTTAGTTTTTTATGATTTATTTGTAAATGTTAGACAATAACTAAGCACAAGACTAGTGCTATTATTATTAGTACCAACTTAGTATACAACCCACTTTTTCCTTGACTATTTAATTTTTGGGTGATTTATTTGTAAATGAAACCCATAGCTAAGCACAAGAGCGAAAGTTCTAATTTTCTATTTTTTTCGTTTTTGTGATTTAGTACCCACTGCAACGACATGTTGTGATGAAATTTATTCTTGGTCGCATGCGGTGGTCTCTCAAGACTACAATTACAATGGTGGAGATGTTCAAAAGATACTAGACCATGGAGGTCCCTCAAGACTACAGTTACCTATAAAAGAGATATTCAAAACATACTAGACCATGGAGAGATAATGATGGTGAAAGGAGATTGTGTTAGGTTTTTTTGTTGATCCAGAGTATCATACATGCAACTTGTGTGCAAGCTGGTAACACCATTGGTCTTCTTCTTCATGGTCTTAAGCATGGTGATGTCGAGCGTGGCCAAGTTAGCATTCCTGACTTTTTTTGATAAACAACATTCCTAACTTTAAAGTGCTCTGAGAAGTTTTATAAAATATCCGTTTGTCTGGAAAACTGCCTTGTATCATGGTACATGGTTGCGTGATCACCAAAAGATCTATACAATTCTTTTATTCGTGATCTTTAGTCTTTGTTACACAATTTCTAGGTCTCCAATATCGAGATTGAACAATCTCTAATGTTGATGCACTGTCATTTTGTACTGTTTCAGATGGTGTGCAAACCTGGTAGTATGAAGACATACAAAAAAGTTTGAGGCAGAAATATATGTCCTGAGAAAAGGACGAAGGTGGCCGGCACACTTCCATGTATGTTGTAGTTTATAGATGGAATTTTCAAAAAGTCAAAACGTCCTGTAGTTTGGAATGGAAGTTGTTGCTTATCACCTGTAACATATAGTTTTTCTTGATTGATGGAGCACACATGTAGCACCAATAACATATGGAAAATTGTTTGATGATGTGAAAATTTCTAAACTAATTCGTATTAGTTGATGCATATATTATTCAAAAGAGGACATTATGACTTCATTTATTGTAATGTTCTATATTTGTTCACATAAAAATATGAACTATTATATTATATTCTAATTGTTCATGCTTTGTGAGAACTCATGTAATATTGATGATTAGCTAGGGTGTTGCGAATATCATGTTCAAAATATTGTTTTTAATAGTATATCACACATTTAAATTTGAATTATTGTGACATTGTTTTTTCTCGTCACCCGCTAGGATCTTGCACCGTCATCATCGCCCTCGCCATTGATGTCCTTCATCTTCCTCACCAGCCGATCCATCCACTGTCGGCCATCGCGTGCTCAAATCCGTGTGAGGTGCACTGCAGGAACCGCCGCACCAACAGGGAGGGCGCCACCAGACGCCCAGCTTGGCATTGGTTTGGCTCGATCAGGAGGCGTTGTGAGTGCCGGTGCGTGTCATGATCCTATTCATCCTATTTCTCAGGTCTTTTCCTAATGCAGTTGTTTAACCGAATCGAATCTTCTAATTAGATTGTTTTTAGAATTGTGAGTTGACAAGGTTCTAAAAGCCATACCCTTCCCTTACGCCATCACCACCTTCAAGTTCGCATCCGGATCACTCATGTGGCTGCTCAATCTGCATATCAAACCGAGACTCCCTCAAACAGTACTATGCATAAATAAAAAGGAAGATTACTCACTTTTTTTTGACTGCAGCTATAAAGATATTAGATATTAGTACAAGATAACTAGACGCTCCAATTGACTAAACTGCACCAATATAAAACTCGCTCACTCATATAACTGATGCGATGAATTATTATTGATTTGTTGATGCAATATGCAAAGCTCCTCGCCTTTGGCTTTGATCCACATGCTTGGAAATGAAAACAACAAGAAAATTCTCGCTCATAAAGAGGTGAGCTTTTTGCTCTTATAATGTTCCCTAACTGTAGATTCACAATAGTTCAAAGATGATATATGTTGTGCACACTGCACCCAAAGACGACCGATTCTTTCTCATCTCGCAAGGACCAATTCCGGTTGGAGGCCCGCCGACCAATTCCTTGGCCCTAGGACATCACCTCCCTAGAAAAGTGAACCCTCTTTAGGTATTATCCCTCCTTCAATGTTTATTCCCATATAAACTTATATTGGTGAATTATTTTGATAATATCAAGTTTCTTTCCACAGTATGCGGGCTGGTGCAAGCGGTAGAGTCTTACCGCTCTGTGACCTAAGGTCCGGGT